AAGACGTTGAGTATCCCTGATCCAAAATGTTTGGGATAAGACTGTGTCGGACGGATTTTGGAATACATGATGCGGTAGAATTGAAGAGAATTTAGAAAAAGTTTAGAGTTTCAGAAAATTTAGCAATGTAGTCACAGACACCGCACACTGACAATACTTGATAGTTTACTGCATACCCATGACACAGCGGTGTTAAGAAACGGGACCATCATGGGAACTTTCTCCATTTCCGTAGAAGCGTACCTCTAAAAAAACGGGAATCGATAATGAAACTCATAACGGGTCACAAATACCGAAATATATACTATTAAAACCATTTAATACGTTTTCTCACCCAAATTCTCCACTTGAACAGGAAAAGTTACGAATCTGCTTCCTTTATAAATAAAAACAGCTCAGAACAGTAGGTTCCTATCGCAAATGGGTGCCAGCTGTGCGAATGAAGTTTCTTTATGTTTCAGGAAGCGCAGAGCGAAAAAGCGACTCAGTAGCGACCCCGGAGTCATTGCAATACAGTATCACCAAGTACAGATGGATATTTTCATATAGCTTATACAGGTTAGAAGGAAGGGAAGTGGAGGAACGGGAGAGGCAGTTAGGAGTTAATGGGTTGTTTTCATGATAAAATGCAAGCACATGAATAGAGTGCGTTCGAGTGTTCCTCCTTTTGACCCTGTAGACAAAATGAGTAATAACCAAGTGTGCTCGTGAATGGAAAGTAGAGAACTTCCGATAACATTTGACCATCCGGTCCTCGCTAGGGACGGAGGATAGTTTTTTTCCGATTAGCCGGGTATCAGGGGATACCACTGTCGATAGAAAATTAAAGGCAAGGGTAGTGTTGTTCATATTGTCCAAGGATATTTTTTTAAAACTCAGGATTGAGGAGCGAGTTAATATAATGTTACGAATTTCGGAATTTCGAATTAGGGATTGTCAGCCTGTTTTGGCCTTCGTGTGGTAGACAGATTCTTTGTGCAGAATGCATACTATAGTCACTTACTGGTAATACTTTCCTATAATAGAAACGGTTCTTATTTCGGTCAACGGATTGGCTGTTTCTCATGTTCGCATCGGAGCACAGCACCAGCACATGTTCTCATTCAGCAATAACCAAATCATAGCCGTCGTTGCTGATTCGTGTGAACTCAGTGTTGCGGGAGCCCTCGGAACAGCACATTTTGGTTTTTCAAACTGCACTTAATTACTTCACTTAATTAATGACATAAAAGTATTTAATTGTTTTCTGATTGATTTTATTGTTTTTAGTATTCTACCGGAACGAAATCCAGATGTTTGTTAAAAATTTTAATTTGCCGAATTTCCTTATGTCTGTAAGGCGGATGCCAAGTTTCAGAGAAGCAAAATCCGTATCTACTTTATTTTACTTTTACGAACAAGAAAATCGGAATCGTTAACCGTGAAATAAGTTAGTGTTGTCTTTGTCATTTGAGGCATCATGGTCAAAGACCGAATACCCTAATTAATTATACTTGACGCTTTGACTTCTCAGAGTGATTTAAGTGAAATTCTTAATTCCTTAAGCTTTTCTCGATGCTGTACCAGGCTAACAAATCATTAACTAGTTTTTATCTATGGCTTAAAGTAAAAAACTGATTTACATCATTTTTATTCCTCGAACTATCGATAGGAGAGTACCAACTTATCTACTGTAAAACGGTCAAAATTAAAAATAAACCCC